TCCACATGAGTACAAATAACTGTTTCTGAATTTCCATGCTTTGCAGTATTATGCATCATTCATTATGATCCACAGAGAATGCCTTTGCATAGTTAATATGACATAAGTAAATGTCTTTTTGGTATCCTTTACTTTCAGCCCAGATCCATCTGATATCAGCAAAACTATTTCTAATTTCATGTACTCTTCTGAATCCCGCTTGAATTTCTGGTAGTTCTTGTAAAGGGTACTGCTAAACCATTTTTTTTCCTTTTCTTCAGCAAAATATTACTGTGATAGTAAGGATTTTCTTCAATAATTTCCACACTGAGTTGGATCATCTTTGAAGTGGTACAAATATGGATCTCTTCCAGCTGGATGGACAAGTACCTGTCTCCAAAACTTCTTGGCAGCAATTTGCTGAAACATCTCAATGTTATTGTATTCCATGAATCCCTGGTGCCTTGTTTTTCTCTAATGCTTTCAAAGACACCTGGACTTCTTCCTTAATATCACTGGCTATAGATCATATGCTACTTTTGAAATGGCTAATTATCATCTAATTATTTTGAGGATATTAACTTCATATACTTTCCACCTTGTGATGCTACATGAATAATTTAATATTTTTATTATAGAATGCATCACTATTACAATCTGAGACATGAGTTTCTTTTCTGCACTTATTTCATATTGAGAAACGCTAACAGTGTTCTTCCCTTTTGGCTTTCTAACTCTAAGTCTTGCATATTTCATTACCATACATTGCTTCTGTCTTCTTAAGCTGACTTATGAAATCATTTGTTTAGCTCTTTAACTTCATTTCTTCCATTCATTTTAACTACTGTAAATTGAAAAGCATCTTTCAGTCTCTTCGGATAATCATTTTCATTCTTTCCCATCTTATTAATAATCTGTTGTTTTCTTCAAGAATGATATCCTTGATGCCATATGCCTGATGTGTAGTCATTAGTGTTAAACGAGATATAAAAGAGATTAAATAAGTGAACAGAGTATGAAATGATAGAAGCTATGACACTTGGAAATCTCGAAGAAAACAGGAAGCAAAAGTTTAAAAATGAGAACCATCTTCTGTTTTGTGTTTTTTTTTGGGGGGGGTTTCCATCTTCTGTTTTGACAGAGAAAGAAAGCCTTCCCCTAGAACCAGCACCTCGAATTCCGATTTCTAGCCTCCTAAACTGTAAGAAAATACATTTCTGTTTGTTAAAGTCACCCATTTGTGGCATTTCTGTTATAGCTATATTAAATACAATTATAGTTTATTTGATGTGCTTTTATCAAATCACTTTTGATATATGAAAGGAACAGGCTAGGCGCAGAAGCAAGGAAGCATAATTAAAGACAGACAAACACCATGTGGCAATCTCTAAAGAATGCTTATAAGAATGTCAAAGAGTCTGAGACAAAGATTCCCCACTCCCCAGGGCAGACAGAGAACCATCTCTTAGAGCTAGCATCCTGAATTCAAAATTCTAGCATCCTGGCCTGTGAGAACACTTAATTGTGCACATGAAAAACCTGTACCTAAACAAAGAGACTGCTATTAGAGCTACCAGAGTAAGGGAATACAGCATGGTTTAAAATGAAGGGTTGTGTTCTTTCTCCATATGTATTTAATCTGTATGCTGAGTAAATAATTTGAGAAGTTGGACTTCTCATGTGTATCAGGACTGAAGGGAGAGACTTACCAACAACCAATGTAATGCAGTAGATACAACTTTACTTGCAGAAAGTAAGGAGGACTTGAACTCTTTGCTGCAGAAGATCAAAGACTAAAAAGCCTTCAACATGGATTACATCTTAACATCAAGAAAACAAAAATTCTCACTACTGGGCCAATATGCAACATCTTGATAGATGGGGAAAAGACTGAAACTGTCAACAATTTCATCTTACTTGGATCCACAAGCAAGTAAACTAGCACCCGGAACTGGTACCACGAATCAGGAGGTTAGGAGACACACTGCAGTCAGGGACTTCTTCAAATTACTGAGGAACAATGATGTCGGTTTGAAGACGAAAGTGTGCCTGATTCCAACTCTCGTTTTCTCAATCCCTTGTTATGCATCTGAGAGCTGGACAATGAAAGGAAGACCTTCAACACTGATACAGTTACTGCAACAATGGGCTTAACTGTGTCAGAAATTATAAGAATGGCACAGGATAGGATAGGTTCAGATCTGTTGTTCAGTGGGTCACTATAAGTCATATTTGACTCAATGATACCTAACAACAATAGTTGTTATTAAGAGTGTTAAGAAGTGTTAAAAACAGTGCTCACTTTGGCAGCACATATACTAAAATTAAAATGATACAGGGAAGATTAGCATGGCCCCTGCTCAAGGTTGACACACAATTCATGAAGTGCTCCATATTTTTGGAATACTATGTGGCACGCTGGAGTAATGATGTGGGTTTTTTTTAATTACTACTGAGGAGGACCTGAAGTACTTGCTGCAGAGGGTCAAGGAATGCAGCCTCCAATATGGATTGAGGCTCAATATCAAGAAGACAAAGATTCTTACCACTGAACCAATTGGCAGCATCAGGATAGATGGTGAAGAAATTGAGATTGTTCACAGCTTTAGTCTGCTTGGCTCCACAGTCAACACTCTTGGCACCAGCAGCCAGGAAATTAGAAGACATATTGCCATGGGAAAGTATGCTGTTAGGGACCTCTCCAAAGTACTGAAGAGCAATGGGGTCTCTCTGGAGAGTAAGGTGTGTTTGATATGCATCAGAGAGTTGGACAATGACTAGGGAGGATAGAAGGAGAATTGATGACTTTGAGCTGTGGTGCTGGAGGAGTATTGAATGCACCATGGACTGCTAGGAAAACAAACAGGTTCATCCTGGAGAGGGTTAAACCAGACTGCTGCTTGGAGGCAAGGATTCTGAGGCTTCGCCTGACATACTTTGGATATGTTGTAAGGACGGACCAGTCCTCAGAGAGGGACATCATGCTTGGGAGGTTGGAGGGACAGTGCAGGAAAGGAAGGTCCTCTATGAGGTGGATGGATTCAGTGGCTGGGGTAATTGGGATGGGTGTATCGGAGACAGTGCAACTGGCACAGGATAGAGCAAAGTTTAGAGCTGTTGTACGTAGGATCACTATGAATCACACACAACAACAACCACCTAACTTGGGAGGGACTGGAAAGAGTTATGTTGAGTGAACTAACTCAGCCCTATAAGGAAAAATATTGTATAAAACCATTATTGTAGAACTAGTATAAGGATCCAAGGGGGGGAAGTGTGGAAGCAGAGGGGTGAGAATGAGTAACAGGGAGAGGTTAATCACAGGATTGCACAATTCGACTGGGTGGGTGGGTAGGTGGTGCAGGTGAAGGAAATGGGAAAGATTCAGTGAGAAAAACATGTATTTGAACTTTGTAAGTAAGCAAGTATAAAATAAAAATTAGAAAAAAAGAAAAGTTACCACTAATCTGAAAAGAAAGAAAAAGTGCTAAAAACACTCTCCCGTGTTTCTGGCTGCACCAGGATCCTTGCTGAGCTCACTACAAAGACAATATATTCTCTACTGGAATTGAATCCCTTCTGTACTACCAGTCTGCACATCTGTGGCTGACCTCAAGACAAAGTCATTCTGTCATTTGCTTCCTTTAAGTTTATACTGCCCTCCAAAATGTGTCCCACATACAAGAATGTAAAATTCCCTTTCTTTTCTCACTTTGCTGCTTTAAACATCTTTACTGTTTGAATCACATAGTATAGTCACTACTTCTTGATTCCCTCAGAACCTAATTAAAAAAGTACAATGGAAGAATTAAGACAGTGAAGAATACAAAGAAATTTTAATAACAAATCACTGCATCAAACAAATGTGGCAGATAGTTCTCCAGCAGTGTCTTGGGTACATAGTAGGTCAAATGCGCTTTATACAGGGTCAGAACCTATTTACCATATATAATTTCTATAGAGATATTTTTAAAACATGAAACAATTAATTCATAACATATCAGGAACACTTCTCTTTTCTTTTTTTTTTTAAGACCATCTTAGTGTTGCTGTGATGCTGCACACTGTTCCATAGTCTTGTCAAATACTGTAATGGTTGCCCATTATGTACAGTGTTTGGATGAGCTTCCAGATTGATTTATGCTGGGAAGCAAGAGTGCCATCCATTTACTAAACCCCTCTGGAAACTCTACAAACTCTCTAAACTCTGTAAGTGTACAGAAATAATGGTAGTTATAGAACAGAGTTATGTACAGAAATTATGTTATTCATAGAACAGAATTTAGGTCTTTTGTGCGAAACTTACTCTCAATTGTATTCGACTTGACGGCACTTAACCACTGCTAAGTGACACTAGTGCTGTTATGTCTGGAGGAACACTCTTCACTTTGCACATCACTCTTTGTCAATGTGCAGTATGAAGTAACCTGGGTTGCTGTGATGCTGAACCTTGTATCACTGGAGTATTAAACACCAGAATGGTTTCCCAATGTTGAACGTGTTAGGTGGAGCTCCCAGTAGTAAAACAGGTTTGAAAGTAGGAGTGGCATCCATCCACATTTCCTAAACCACATGCCTCTGGAAACTCTATAACTTGGAGAAATGATGATAGTCTTTTGTTCAGAGACACTGTAAGTCGCACTCAACTCAACAGCAATCAACAACAACTCTTTGCTTTAATGCAACATCAATATCATCCTTTTTTTAAAAAAAGTGATGGTTGAAAACCAGTAAATTCACTGGAATAAAATCACTGTAGCATTGAGAAGAAATGACTAAAAAAGAATCATAAACAAATCAAATCAGTTGCTACTGAGCAGTCCCAACCCATGGTGACCCCATCTGCTAAGTTAACAAAAAAGCTGTAGCACGTGTGTGTGTGTGTGTGTGTGTGTGTGTGTGTGTGTACTTGAGGTAAATTAACTCTGCCTCACTAGGCTTCAAAAGGAGGTGATTATTATAAAAACTCAAATAGCATGTTGGTACTTCTTATTATCCATAATTCTCAAAAGCTCACTCACAGCTGAAGAGTAGAATTCAAACTCTTGCTCAGGAAGGAAAGAATGCCAGCCATCTTCTACAACTTCAAACATGGGCCGGTAAAAGAAAGGGTACATCAGAGTGATGGAGTCCAGGGTTGACAAGGCCTAAAGGGTAAAAAGAAAATATGTAAAGCTAATAGTAACAAACAAACATTTGAACAAAATACTCAAATGACAAATTATTATTAAATAAATATGATGTAATAGTGACAGACATCCAGTATATTTTCCAATATTTTATTAGCAGATATAATTAGAGCCTTATTTGAAGCTAGTGCCCTCTAGTAGCATATTCCATAGACTGCCAACTCAAAAGCTGTGTGTACCTGGTGGTTTTGAATCCACCAGTGGGGCTCTGTGTGTGTGTGGGGGGGTAAGTTGGGAAGTCTCCTCTTCTTAGGATTTATAGTCTCAGAAATCCAATAGAGGGTCACTAAGTCCAAATCAACTCAAAGGAAGTTAGTGAGATGAGTAATCTGAAGCTCATTTCTTTGCTTCTAGTATCTAACACCTAACAACAAAAATATGTTTCTGAAAGTTACACATTGAATAAGGAAGACTGGAGAATGATGCCTTTAAATTATGGTGCTGGTGAAGAGTATTGAATATAATGTGAACTGGTAAAGAACAAAAAAAATCTGTCTTACTTCAAGTATGTTGTCAGCAGGGGACAGTCCTTGGAAAAAGACATCATGAGAAAAACAAAGATTCACAGAAAGAGAAAAATCCTCAACATGATTAACCAACCCAGTGACTCTAACAATGGGCTCAAACATGGTACAGGATAGGGCAACATTCTGGTTTATAGTTCACTATAAGTCAACTTGATGCACCTAACAACCACCACCACCTCACAAGCATTTTTTACGTTAATCTCATAAGATTGTTGAGTATTTAAGAGACATACTAGTCTTAGAACAATAATGAGTACAAAATAAAGTCTAAAAAATTTAATTATTATTTGCTCCACATATGTAGAAATTCCATAAATGTTTACACATACACACACACACACACAGAGTATTAGGAGCACAGGTGGTCAAAACACTTAGCTGACAACCAAAAGGTTATCAGTTCAAATTTGCCAGCTACACCACAGAAGAAATATGTGGCAACTTTTTAGGAGTGAAAGATGTATAGAAAGAGATTGTTCATATTTATCTTGAGGAGCAGCTGGTGGATTCAAACTGTCTGTCTTTGGATTGGCAGGGTAATTTCTTACCCACTTACCCACTAGGCCACCATAGATTTATAGCCTTGGGAACACTGTTAGACTGTTCTACTCTGTCTTATGGTTGTTACGAGTTGGATTCTACTTAATGACAACACTTTGGTCTTTTATACAGTGATAAGTCATCTGATTATCATCATATTGGTATAGACTGATCTGAATGGATCAGTATAAACTGATCCTTTCTCAAACCAGGGCAATAACTCCATGGTCCCAAAATGCATCAGTTGCATTTAATTTTTTTTTTAATTTTTTATGGTTTACTTATTTTTTTAACCAGAAAATGCTTTGTGTTTTTTTTTCACATGAAAATGAGAATGCAAATAAGCAAAATCCTCATAAATGTGACATTCATATTTTTATTCCAAAAGCTAATAAGGTTTTTTGAACACTAGGCAAACCAAGTTCCCACCTGTAGAAAACATTCTCACATCTACTATCATGTGAAATGTTTGACTAAGAAAAAGTATTTTAGGCTTCAGATACAACACACAAAAACAGAAAAAAGAAGAAGAAACATCTTTCATAAGGTCGGGGGGGGGGGAAAACCACAACAAAAAAAAGAACCCATCTCAAGTATGGTCAAAATGTCCTTAAAATAGTTGACAGCAATGTTTCATCACCAGAATAGGCATGTGTTTAAGAAGCCCCAAAGAGGATGGCTTTGTGTCTAGCTTTTGGGATACATCTAAGATACCAATTTCTTGGGAATACTTTCTAACAAATGTAAGCAACTGAACTTGCAAGAGTCACTTCTCTTAGGGTATGAGATGGGACTGACTTTACAAAGCTTGCCATTGCTTCTTTCAGAAACAGTGCTGGATTTCCATGCGAGTGACTTTATTTTCATTGTGAATAAAGGGCAGGTTTTCAAAACACTTCACCCAGCCTTTGTTCAAAGGTACCTCGGAGTGAATGTAAAGCATCATCACAACCACAGCCTCTCTGCCTCTCTCTCTCTCTTTCACTCACACAAACACCCCCCTAAGTCACAAATGAAACATGTGACTTGGAAATCACACATTTCCCCCAAAGTGCTCCTAAATTCTCTGATACTAAATATTTCCATTCCTCACCCTACAAATCCATCAGGTAGACTAAACACCTTTGGACATGTTTGCTGATGGATGACCTTTTCTTCAGATACACAACAACGCCGTCCACACAATTACTGTCACTCAATGAGACATGTAACTGTTGCTGGGAGGCTCAATGTTTCATTGCGTAATTTCCCCCCCCCCCAAATCATCTCAGTTCTGTCTTGACTTCTCTGGAAATAACAGCTTTTCATTTCCTACCTTGGAGCTATTCCACTGGCTGCTGTCAATATAGTGTTTCCTCAGCGGCTAACCCAAAGGTTAGGGGTTTAAAACAATTGGTCATTTTGCAGGGCACCAAACGAGGCAGCCTCCATCTGAAAAGTGGCACCTCGTAGGGTTCACGACCATGTTAAATCATGGCACCTATCAAGAAGTTGCTGTACCACGTAGTGACCCTATGAACAGCAGATGCGAACCTTGGCCTGTAGCCTATACCATCCTCACCATCTCTGATATACAGGGAAGGACATGGAGCTGCTATCACTGTGTCAAGCTATCTTATTGAAGGTCTTTCTCTCTTTCTCTGACCCTCCACCTCTCCCCAGTATGATGCCTGCTTCACAAAGAATGCCCCTTTCTGAACAACTGCACAAAATCTGTGCGATGAGGCTTCACCATCTTTGTCTCTCAGGAGCACCCTGGGGGCGCTTCCTCCAAGACAGACATGTTTCTTCTTCAGAATTCTTCACTCAGATCACAACTCAAATGCATTCATTCCTCTCCAGTCTTCCTTATTCATTGGGCAACTTTGTGATGAAGATCTTGACAAGGCCATGACTGGGAAGATGGTCACTTTCAAACTCTGTGGAGAAGTTCTCCTAGGTCAGCTATGAGTTACAACAACTTGACATGAAGACCATGGATACATTGTATCCATGCGACACACACAGGCTTCTGACTAGGAAATATTGTTACTGTTGTTAAGCACCCACCAGTCAGCAAAGACTCTTAGCCACCCTACCGATGTGTCACTATCAATCTATCTCAAGGAGGTTGTCAGAACAGAGCAAGGAAACACTGAATGGTTCAAAATCAGAAAAGGAGTGTGTCAGGGATGTGTCCTGTCTCCACACCTTTTAAATCTGTATGCGGAACAGATCATTTAGGAGGCTGGGCTCTATGAGGAGGAACATGGCATCAGGGTTGGAGGAACTCATCAGTCCTTGAGTTATGCAGATGGTTCCACCTTACTGGCTGAAACTGAGGAGGATCTGAAGCGCCTGCTGCAGAAGGTCAAGGTCTTCAGCCTTCAATATGGATTGAAGCTCAACGTCAAGAAGACAAAGATTCTGAGCACTGGGCCGATGGGCAGCATCATGCTAAATCTTCATTATGATCACCATCCCATCCCACCATGAGTGAGCAAACTCGGTCAGGCAAGGGGGCTGAAGGAACAAGGCTGCAGGGAGCAGAGACTGACCAGGAGTCTTATGTTTTTCCATTGAAAAGTTTTTCCTTCCCAGGAAACTGTACATTCACTCCAAAGAAACCCCAGAGCTCCAAGCATTCCACTGGTGGCTTCTGCATTTAAATTCTTAGAGACAATGCAAAAACAAGCAAACAAAAATCCACCCAAATCCTAATTAGGTGGGAGAAACAAAACTAGAACATCTTCCATTACCCTATCCTTCTGACAGAGGAGTCAGGGAAAACATTAATATGTCTAGGGAAAAGGGTATGAAAAAATTTTAAACATAACTTAAAGGGCATTAATTTAGAGGTCATCAACAACCACCTATAACAATTCATTGCTGTCAAATTAAAACTGACTCACAGCTGACCCTCCAGCAGGTTTTCAGAGGCTATAAACTGCTCAGGAGATTGACCAACTTTCTCCCTTGGAGCAGGTGGTGGATTTGAACTGGCTGCCTCTGAGTTGGCAGCACAACTCCTTACTCACTAGGCCACCAGAGCTTCCTAATTAAGAGGTAGAGGACAGTGCTAAGCCTGTAGGAAGTAGAGAGGAATACCCAAGTGTACTAAAACTTTCAGAATAAAACTACTTGTCTACAAGTTCACAGTTGTTTGTGGTAGTGGTTAACGTTAGGTGTCATTAAACTGTCAGTGACTCGTAGCAACCCTATGAACAAGAGATCTGAATCCTGCCCAATCCTGCAATCTACCATCCTCACAATCCGATAGGTTCAAGTTCATTGTTATAGTCATTATATCAATCCATTGTGTTGGAGTCTCCCTCTCTTTCTCTGACCCTTGAACTTTCCAAGCATGATGTCCTTTCCCAAAGACCAGCCCCTCCTGACAACATGTCCAAAGTATGTGAGATGAAGTTTCACCATCTTTGCCTCTAAGATATATCCTGGCTGCATTTCCTGTAAAACAAATTTGTTTGTTCTTTTGGTAATCTGCTAAGTATTCAGTATTCTTCTCCAGCACCATAACTCAAAGCCATTGATTCTTCTGTCATTCTTATTCATTGTCCAACTTTCAGAAACATAGGAAGTAATTAAAAAGACCATGGCTTGGATCAGAAGCATCTTGTTTTTAAACTGATATTGATGCTTACTAGCACTTTGGAGAGGTCCTTGACAGATTTTCCCAATGCAACACGTTTTTTGATCACTTGTCATGGGTGTTGAATGTGGATGCAGGTAAAATGAAATCATTGACAACTTAAATCTTTTCTCCATCTATCATGATGTCACTTATTGGTCCAGTGGTAAGGATTTTTGTTTTCATGAATGTTGAAACATAATCCATAATGAAGGTTGTTGTCTTTGATCTTTTATAGCAAATGTTTCAAGTTCTCTCGACTT